TGTATATGTAGGAAGATAACCCTTTGCTTCTAGCATAGTGAATTCCCCCAGGCCAGTAAGTGAGCCCAAAGGTAAGATTTGAGATCTGAATGTTGTATTCAGTAAGCCCACAACTTATGCAGAGTTAACTTGTGCACATTTACACTCTTGGCAAAAAAAAATGGGGGGAAAATGGAAAGGGGGTGGGAGTACAAGAAATATGACTTTGGCAATCCTATCCTCCATTGAACCCAATTTTGGCTTTAGGTGTGATCCCTGGAACGTAGCCCCTGCGTAAGTTGCTGGCTGGCTTTCCCCCCAGTGCAGAAATAAAATGGTAAAGTATTTTATGGTGCAACAACATTATGGGAGAGGTGTTTGCAGCTGTCCCAGCCCCATGCCTTTCAAAGCCTTGTAGGCAGCTTCAGGAGAGGGATTGAAAGCAACATTATGAGAAGGGTGTTTCTAGGTCCAAAGTGAAACTGTCAAGCCCCTTGCCAGGAGATGCAACATAATTAATGTTATATTTACTGTACTGAAATGTGCGGGTTTGTATGCTGTTATAATTGCTGTTTTATTATGAAAGTGGGGTGTTGTTTTTTTACTGTTTATTTAAGAAAGGCCACAACCAATGACACTGAAAATTATCATAAAATTTATTAGCATCATCACAGGAATTTTAAAAGTGGGGTAAAAAACCAGCAGAGTTAGAAGTTTACAAAAGGGGAAAACAAGAAGAGGGGAGAGAAATGTCATTCCACAGGAGAATCTCTCCTCCTCCTCCTTCCCAGAAGATCTGTTGAAGCTTTAATAGAGACCCACTTCATTCTGATGCATTTTTAAAAGTTAAACAAAAGAAAGAAAGAAAGAAACCGCGCCCCAGGCCTAAAATGTCACAAAGCTGTGGTAGCAGAGTGGGTATTTTCAGAAAAACAATGGTGTATCTTCATCTGACACCCATCAGAGGCAGCACCAGGCCATTCCATCAGATTGCAATACCTCCTCATGCCCAGATCCAGAAAAAAACAACAACATCCCAGACTTCCAAAAGGCCCAACTTCACACAATCCTTTATAACCTGAGCAGCCTGGTACCAGCAAAACAATGCAGGCTTTCCTCTCCCACAAAACTGAAAGACCCACTCAGCCGCTCTCAGAATCACTTCGCCAGCTGACAGACTTTTTGTCCAATATTGTTTTTCATCATTCCCCAACCAAGGCCAGCTCCGGTCGCAAAGGACAAAATAGTGCCGCTTCCCATTCCAGATAAAAAAAAGCCGACCAGAGTGGCAGCTGAATCAGACTTCAACGCTGGTGAGCGGGCGCATCTTCTGCTGCAGTTGAGGGCAGCAGGCTAGCTTATGGGATGTGGAGCTGGTGGCCCAGCACACCCAGCTCAGTCCATCCCCACCCTTCACTGTCCTCTGCCTGAGATCCTGTTCTCCACCCCATGTGAAATTCCCAGTTTACAGAGGCAAGCAGGTGCAGAAAAGTTATGGAAACAGCTATACAAAATCATGGCTC